TTTAAAGCTCTCCCGCAATTACTGGGTATTGCAAGGATCAGAACTTCTCCCTATCATCCACAAGCAAACGGGCTGGTGGAAGAGTTTCATCGTCCTCTGAAGGCAGCACTGAAAGCACACAATACAGAGCAGTGGTCTGCTGTCCTACCAACGCTGCTGTTGGGATTCAGAGCAGTTTACAAAGAAGATCTTGGGGCCACCACAGCCGAATTAGTGTATGGAACAACCCTGCGTCTACCAGGCGAGATTTTTCATTCATCACCAACTGATGCTGATCCAAAGGCACTCATCGATGAGTTGAAATCGCATTTCGAACTCATTAGACCAGTCCCAACATCTTGCCATGGACATAGAACTGTTTTTATCCATCCCCATTTGAAAGACTGCTCCCATGTGTTCCTGAGACATGACGGAGTACGCAAGCCACTACAACCTCCGTACGACGGACCGTATAAAGTTATTTCCAGAAATGACAAAACTTTCGATGTATTAATGAAGGGTGCACAGCGCACCGTCTCAATTGACAGGTTGAAACCAACCTTCTTAGCAAGTGATGATCCTCCACCTGTTCCTGCTAGTGCTCAAGCAGTAAGGACTCCAACTGTCCCGATGACGGATGCGTCTACTCAGCCAGCTGGTTTTGCCAACAAAACTACACGTGTTGGTAGAAAAGTTCAGCTTCCCCGAAGATATGTCCATTTTCAACAACACTGCGGAGGGAGTGTGCAGCGGATCGTCTCGCCATTACGGCGATAACGAACTATCCTGGAACGCCGGTTTGGCGGGTACATTCAAAGTTGGCAACCCTGCCACAGAGACTGTTTTCCCGCATTCGGGTTACAGCTTCGACCAGTGTAGCGTCGTAATTTTCACGTTCGTGCTAAGGCACGTGTTTATTTTATTCAGGATGTAATTTTACTAATTTCCTATTTCATTAAATATGTTTAACTTCTTATCTATGACTGGCATATATTAATTTCCTTTTAGATGTTTATTTAACTTTAAGTATTAATCTTTAAGTAATTAATTTAATTGCATGTGGCTTACCCATGTGCACTTAAATAGCAACGTTCTTGAAAGAGTAATGGATTGTTGCCAAATTTTGATCATTCATACTAAAAGCAACTTTTAAAAAATAATGTAAAAAATGTTATTATATTTTCGTCTCATTCTTGTATGCAAGTATATGTTAGTTCAAATTTAATTTAGGTAAAACAATATTTACTGACAGTTTTGAAATTAAAGTGTTATGTAACCCAAGTAGCATCTAATATTGAATAACATCAGAAAATTGGCAAAATCTAACTTTATCTTGCACAACTTCTAATATTAGAAAGATACAAGAGATCGCTGTTTGCTCTGCATTATATAATATTAGATTCTATGTAAACTAATATTATCTAGCTTTCGTCATAATATTACTTTGCGTTAGTTTTGATGCTATATAATATTAGATCTTGTATTTTCTGATATTATTTTGCTTTGCTTTTTATTTTTTTGGAGTAAGCAAGAGGAAGATATGGATGGTTGTAGAATAATTCGGCGATATAATTTTACTTAATTTTCTGTAATGTTGTGAAGCAGTAAAACATAGAACAATAGTTTTATGTCATTCCATGCATTATCTACTTAGCAGTACAGAAATACTAAATAAAATTATATTGGCGAATTCTGCTACCTTCCATTTTTCTCCTCCTTTTTCCAAAGTATATCGTATGTTCAGCTAATTTTTTTGAATATTTCAAACTTAATTAGGAAATAATATTTTATTGCAACTTTTATTGATATTTTTTTCTTTTATTCACACAATGGGTTTTCTTACAAATTTTTATCATTAATAATTTTCAAGTCTTCAATTTTAAAATGTACTCTTAATTTTTTAAAAAAAAACTGGACTTATTTTATCAAAATCTCAATTTAATTTGTTAGTATGTAATATATATATATTTTAAATGTGTAACTTAAGCCATTTGTAATTTCACAATTATCATTCATTATTTATATTCAGAAATTATATAATAAAACCACACTGTATAATTATAAAGTTATATATTTACATTTGAACTGAGTGGAAATTTAAACTTAAAATTTCTCCCCTTATAAAATTAAAATAAAATTGTTCAATTTTTAAGTGCGTATTTCTTGTAATAACTGGCACAATAAAGAACAAAATTTAAAAATATTCAAATTACTTACTTCAACAAATTTACACATATTTTTTCCCCTTCTTTTTTCGCTGGAATTGCTAAATGGAGAAGTACTTACGAAGCTTTATTCTTTTAGTATTTGAAATTTTATTTAGCAAAGCACCTAAAAACAAAACTCAAACGCAAGGAAGAAATTTTTCCAGGGAATGAAACCAGGAAAGCAACTAATATCATTAAAATTGCTAATATTTTTTTATAATGTAAAAATAACTTTTATGGGCACACCAGAAATTTTCATCAATTCGATAATTATTTAAAGGTGTTATGTTCTATTAAACTAACAATCTTTGTAAAAAATTTACATAACATTTTAATTTCAAAACTGTCAGTAAATATTATGTGTTATCTAAATTAAATTTGCACAAACATATAATTGCATACAAGAACGAGACGAAAAAATAATATAATTTTTTACATTATCTTTTAAAGGTTGCCTTTAGTATTAATGATCAAAATTTGACTACAATCAATTACTCTTTTGAGAAAGTTACTATAACAAAATAGATTTTTGATTTAGACAATACCATTCCTCGTTTTTCTCTGATTATATAGTATGCGTTATGAAGAATTAGCCTTAAAAAACATATATTATGCATTTAAAAAAGTTGCTTTTGCAAAGAACCTTATATATAAAAATTTAAACAAGATTCTTCTCTACGTTGATTTAAATTTTCTGTTTTTACAATAATGTAAATAAATGAGCTGCTAAGTTTTAAATATTAAGCCAAAGAAATTTTTACTATTATCATTATTTTACAATTACATTATTTTAAACATCATAAAAATATATATACACTTCTTATTTCAAATTTGAACTGCAAAATTGAAGTAATAAATACAATGCTAGTGACATAATTTCTCATAAGTTAGAGTTAATGTTTAACAATGATGTTAAAATAAAATTGCTTCTGATATCTACAAAATTTCTTGAATTTTCATAATACTTAAGCATAACTATAATGACTAGAATAAATTACATAATGCAGTAGTTAAGAATAAAAAAATAAATCAAATCAAATCATGATAAACATTTCACTACTTAATTATTTTATTTTAAAACAAAACACAATATATAACTTCACTCAGCAATAAAAGCAATACATTCTTACCATCATTGTTTAATATAAGCTTATCGATATTCTTTTTTTTAAATATAAGTTAAGAACACGTATTTATAATTAAATAAAATAATTTTTATTTTTATTTCAAAAAGCAACAGTAAAACCATGAGTTATAATTTTAATTATTATTATTTTTAAATTAAAAAAAATTCCAAAACTTTGCAATCATTTCATATAGTTTAAAGTTTTCCTTCGATTGCAATTTTTTGTTTTTGTGCAACTGAACTATATTTCAGAGCAATAAACTGAAAATCTTTGCTTTATTGAAAGATTTTATAAAATGGTCTGCACCATTTGTGCATATCACACAAGAACACAGCAGGGATGAATCACACAGGGATGCACCTGTCTTCAAACTTTCAGCTCCGGCAGATTTAAAGAGAACCTCCAGTCGTTTTGTTTTCGGTCAGGATCAAACATATGGCTCCCAGTTTTCTACCAGAATGTTAATTTCCATTTGCATTCTACAGCACCCAATCTCAAAAATGAATGGCTCCTCCCTGGTAGATGAGCTTGTTTATCCAGCGGACGAAGCTAAAATTATAAGAGAAAAAAGTTAACTTTACATTGAAAACACTAAATTTAAACCTCTACTTTACTTTACATTGAAAACATTAAATTAGTTAAAGTAAATTTAAAACTATTAAGCATTGAATACTTCTTTAAAACTTAAATCATTTCCTTTGAAAATGTTTACAATTTAATGGGTAGATTTCCGTAACAGTACCTACACCAAAAAATCTCAGTATCACCGAGCAAGAATAGAAAAATACTTCACTTATAACCGCTTTCAAACAATAATTTTATTCTTTCTTAATTATTATTATTTTTTAAAAAAAGAGGAAATTATAGTTCAATACACTTAAGCCCTTTTCAATTGAAGCGAATATTCAAGTATATATACAGATACGAAAATATATCAAATTCAATACTTTTTAATTTTTCTTAAAGATTAAGTACAATGACACAAAGATTAAGTACAATGATTAAGTACAATGACTATTAAAATATTTTTGTACCTTGTATAAGCTCATGGAGCCAATAGGAAATGTTCAAATTTTTTTTTTATAAACTTCATAAATAAAAATTTTAACACCTTTTAAGCATTGTTCTTCATTCAACGTAAACACACTTTGAATGAACCATATTGTTGCTTATTTTTTAACTATTTGCTTTCATTTATAAATTAATATAATTAATCATATATCAAAAACATCTGTCTATATTCATGAAATGAAAATAAAGATATTTAACTCATCATTTTACAATATATTAAACAGGAAATTCAAATAATGTAACAACAGTGTTCGTCTTGTGAATAAAATTTCAAACATTCTAAAATGCAATGGTTTTAACTAAAAAGTAGTCGATTTATTAATAATTGTTTTAAGATGGCAAATTTGTTTACTAAAAATTTATTTTTATCTTCATCATTGCAATGAAAAAAAATTCAAACTGCAAAACTCTTTGTGACAAGCCAACAGAAAAAGTGGCGAAAAGTGTTAAATAAACAATTGCTTATTTTCTTCCATTGCTTATTTTAAAATTCGATTAATGTAAAAGAACATCAATGTAAAAAGATACTATGAGAATTCAAAATCATCAATTCATGGTTGAAAAAATCATGTAGAAGGAGAATTCTCTAACAATTTACATATTTCAAAGCTGTAAATATATATCAAATACAGTTTGCCCCTCCCCCCAAATATGTTTACATAACGTTTTTTAAAAGTCAGTATGCATAACATAAATTTTTTAATTGTTTTATTAAATTTTTAGTCTCAGATTATATCTAATAGAAATTTATTTAAAAACTTTATTAAACAATAATTATTTATCAGACTAATTATTATCATAATAATTATTTAATAAATATTTATTAAACTAAAAGGAACATTACAGAATAGGACAAACTCGAAAGGTATAACCCAGGGCAAACATATACATATTTTTGTTAAAAAAAATTGCAAGTTTAAAATCTATTTGGCGATTGCACTTGGCGGGACAGATCACGATACTGAAATATCCCCAAGAAATTTAAATAAAAATGTTTAATTCTTTGTTTTACAATATTTCAGACATGAAATTTTAATACTGGAACAATATTGTTTGTATTGAACGTTAAACATTCTAGAATGTAATAGTTTAAACTGAGGTAAAAGTAGCCGATCATTAATTTTCTAATTGTTTTAACTTGGCTAATTTGCTTACAGACAATTATTTTTATCTTTTTCAATGTTGCAGGAAAACTTTGTCACAGTCGAATTACTTAGCAAACGTTGTTTTACAAGCATATTTTGAACTAATTACATTACTTATTATTTATAGCTAGACAATAAGTTAACAGAGAAGTCAACTACTATGTGCGAACAATAATGATCACAATTCATAATATTAACTGACTTTATTAGATACATGATTTTTAACT